ACCAGATTTCTTCCGCAGATCTTTTCCTCTGTTTGGTCTGTTACCTGGGTTGACACAATTTTTTAAAGCCCTTAAAAAAGTGGAGGGGCTACATGAGTCCATCAGAGTCTCCTGAATGTTGTCTTCTATTGATTTTGCTAACCACAGATGTATAATTTCTACCCGGTTTTCTGGCCTCCTTCAGCCTGGCTCCAACTGTACTTATTTTGTTTCCTAGTTTCTTATGTCACAGCTGGTTGAAGAGCTTGATTAAGTATGTTGTATTGACTCTCTTCTTTTCATCTGCTGTTGGTTTTATTTCTTCATGAACAGTTCCACTCAGTTTAAAGCCATCTGTTCAAGTAGTTTCCATATTTTTGGAACTTTCAGATCCTAAGTCTATTATTAATGATTTAGAATTTTCCACTTTACATGTTTTGGTCTAAATCCCCTAATATGTGAAGCACAATGACAGAAAGGTATGAGGATTAAATGTAAACTCAGATGGATATCAAATGGAACCACAGAAGTTAAGGAATTATATAAGCCTGTCCCAAGAGACAAATAGAGGAAGAGATGTTAAAACCAACTTCCCTGTTACATTATGCTCAGAACACTTCTTGCCAGATGCCTCAAACTATCATTTGTTGACTGGTACCTGAAAATTGAGAAAAAGACTAAGAGTGACACAAAAATGCAAGAAGCTAAGGAAAAGCAGTAATAAAGTTACTAAAGGCCATAGAAACCAAATGCCAAGGAGAAAAATTAATTAACTGATTTGAGATCAGCAGCTACCAAACAGGAGAACACTAATCCACCTGCTCCCCCACAATGGCCTCTACCCCCTTTGTACATTTGAGGCAAAGTATGTATTTTTGCACGTATCTACAAATGCACACACTAGCAATCTGTGAGTGACATGGAATTACAGATGGAACTTGACCATACTCAGCCTTCAAATACTATGTCTTTTCCAACCTCATCCACCCAAACCCTGGGTTCTTCATCATGGGTCTTTAATAAAGGAGCCTAGAAAACTTTACCCTGCCTGGAATTTACCCCTGATAGCTATCAGTCTCTAAACTGGAGTTGGTTGGCTCCCTTTTCAAACAGATTTTTAAAAACTTGAATTAAAAGGAAGGGGGAGGATGTACAAAGTCTACAATTTAAGGGGGGGAGTAATGTTGAACAAAAGGTGTTTTTAAAAAATCATTGATTTTCTTTTCAGGTTGATTTAGCAAGAGATTTAGCCAGCTGCCTGTAGTTAAAGTTAGTGGACACCTGGTTTGTTCTGAAGTGACTGCAGCTAGTGATGACCTTTTTGCAGTAGAAACTGTGTGGCCTTCTGTGTTATTAGCCTTGTGCTATGGTGTTGCCAACTGATTTTTCCAATTCTCTTTTCTCAGTGGGCTAGAACGCAGCTGGTTAAATAGGCCGTGACTCACATAAGCTCCTGTGTCTTTTTTATTGACTGCTTTATGGAAATGTATCACACTCCAAAGGGTCCCCATTGTTGTTGCTGTGCATAGCTGACTTGGGAGTCATGTTTAGCGCTGAGAGATGGAATCCTACCTGTTGGTTTTTATTGCAGAGTTGGGTATGGGTGGGATACAAGGGCTTAAAGGAATCTGGATGAGGAGAGAAGGATGTCTGAGACTTTCTTTTATCTTCATCTGCCATAGAAGTTGGGTGGCCATCACTTCTGGGTAACACACTTCTCTGTTGATCTTATCTTTATTGCCCCACATCCTTCAGCTAAGGGAATCTTTTCTCTGTATGGGCTATTCTGGGAGATTTAGGTTAAGTGTAGTGGTAGAGAGATTATGACACTAATGTAATTCTGTTTTGTGCCGATATAATGTGATATACCCTTAGGTTTATCCAAGAGGGCCATTTATTCCTAATAAATCTAAATCATTCCTAGTTTTTCATTATGGTGGTGATATCTTTTTTTTTCAGGAAGTGGAGAAAAAGCCTCTATCTTTTTTTTGTTTTTAATTGTATACTTAAATATAAACGCTTTTGATTTAAAATAGCAACTTATACAACAGTCTGTAGCTTCTTCCTATTTTTATTATCATCCTGCAAAGTATTTACATACTTTCTGTTAGTGGTTAAATAGCTCTCTGAAGAACTGTTCATTTGCCAGTAGGTGTGGATTCAGGCATACAGACTCCTCCTGCCTCATCACCCCACAATGTGGCTTATGTTGTACATTCTCAGGCTCACCAGTTTTTGATCATTAGGACCCTGAGCTGACACTGAAAGAGGAGACAGTTTGATTGTCACAATGGCTTCCCATCTTGGTTGTCTGAATTTATTTGAAGGATTATAGAGCTAATGAGATTGAGCTCAGAGTCAACTCTACATTGACAACAATTCTGTTACTGTAATCATCAAACAGTGCCTTCTCCATAGCAGACAATCAATAGAATAGAGATTGATTTGATTTGATTTCCTGATTTTTGTCTATAGCCACAAACTTTACCTATAATTCCATTTTCCTACTTGTATACGAGAAACCAGGCAAGAGAGTTCAGTACATCAATACAGATTCCCTGTAATGAGTAAGAAAGTAAAATAACACATCTAACTACGTACAAAAACACAGCATGTAAAAAAATGGTTTCCAGCTATGTTACTCTTCAGAATCTTGTTGGTGAACCACCAAGAGACAAAATTCAGCAATTCATTCAGTGCCCAATTTTAGCAAACCAAATTTGGCTCTTGGGGTGAGAAGGTGGTGATAGTGCTGTCCCCAGTCTCCTGGAAATAGCAACTTGGACTTGAAACATCTCTGCTGCGTTATGTCTTTGTTTTCTTGGTGGTGGCATTCTTGGGTTTCAGTTGGTGGGGAGAAAAAGCCTCATGCTGATAATGTACTGAAAGTAAATGAAATTAAATAAGCGAAGCAGTGCTCATCACTACTTCCTTCCCCCCTGGGTAATTCAATTCAAGCTCTCTCTCTGATGGCAACTCACAGGGGCTGTCTCTGTCACCCCGCTGAGTCCTGGAGTCTTAACATCTAAATAAAAGTTTCACTCAAGCATTTTTTATGCTCCTGCCAGCAGGATCAGTGAGCTGGTGTGGGCACATTAATGTAATATTCATGCTCACAGACTCTCCCCACACACGAGGCAATGTCTTCCCATTTTCATAATTATAGATGTTCCATAAAATGGCATTTAGATTTGCATTAAAAAAGGAGGTTTGAATTCTAATAAAACGTTTAACATGTCTTTTATAATTCAGACTCTTGGCATCTTTAAAAAGAAGCCATGTCTCTAAGTTTAACAAGATCTTAAACAAATATATATATATGGGAAATAGGAGATGGAAACCCCAAGCTTAGAGCATTCTGTTTTCTCTTTCTTATCTCCTGTGACTTTCATATAATTTTTAGGCCTCTAGGAGCAAGCTTTTGACACTCAGAGCTTCAGAGAGTATGGGTTCTCCTTCAGAGGGCTTTCTGACCATACCAGGTCCTCCCCCATCCTCTAGCCCCCTTCAGTGGAATCTGTTCTTGTTTTCTTGGAGAGTATTTTCAGAGGAATATTAGAATTTTCAGAGCGATGTTAGAAGGGATGGAAGACATAAAAGAATCCTAGAAAAATGAACTTGCCTTTGCTGCTGTTCATCTTGTATGTGTACCCTGAGACCCATCTGGGAGGGTTGATGGCAGCCACAAAGTTTACTAACTGTAAAACACACAAATGAAAATAGTCCATGAACAAGGAAGTTGATAATAAGGACAAATTGGATAAGGAATCAGGCACATAGACATGTTAAAGAAAAAGAGAAGCCCTTCTGATCTGCATTTTAAAAATTAAGTTGAAACAGCTTAGAAGCAAAAGGTAATTTTAGTTACCTTTAAGTTGTCGTAAAATGTTATTTTTTTTAAAAAAAGAAAGCATTCAGGTACTGAACAAAGTGCCAGCTCATAGCCACCACTGAATAATGTTAAGTTATTTTAGAAGGTGTTCAATGTACAGTTGAAACATTATTTTCACCCCAAATTCTCACAGTATTGTATAAGTGACCCAGTTGATTCATATATGACTATGCCTTAATTTGTTTTGTTTTCTAAAATTCTTAAGGCAGACCAAAAGAGATTGAGTTTGGGCAATAAAAGAATAAATCCTAAGATTCTGCTAGCTTACTACCTTCATTTTTCGTGATTAAGAAATGTAGAGTTGTGCCTTTAAAAGGGTTTTTGTTTTGTTTTGGTTCTTGTTACATTTTATTTTTTTGAAGAGTAAACTCCTTCCTCTTTCCCTTTGTCCTTTGCCCCTCCCCTCTGTGAAGTAAGTATAAACCCCAGTGGAGGGAGATGGATTAGGATCTTGACTTCTCAATAAATTTGTACCTAATGAGGCTAATTGAAAGCTAGGAATGTTAGCAGCATACATTTAAAGGCCAATGTCAATTCCAGGGTCTTCTGTTTGTAAAGGCTTGTACCATTCTTAAACTTTTTCCCACACTTTGAATAAACCAGGTTTGGCAGTTATTGCCAAGTTCAGCTCTGTGTGAACTTAATAAATTTATTTCATGAAGGTGACTTTCTTTCAGTTTGTTTAAAAAAAAAAAAAAGTTAATGTTTGTTTATAGGTCCCTCTGAGGTAACTATTTATGGTGAAGTCTATCACTCATTAAAGCTTGTCTGTGCTAGTAGCTATTTGACTTGTGATTATCTGAATGCAGATTATCCAATTTGGAGTTTATATCCACAGCAAATTCTTAATTCCCTGGAGTCCTTTTCTTGCCAATCAGTACATATTTAGGCTACCTCCCCACACCACAAACTAATGTATATTTATATAATTTTAAGTGATTTTAGCATTAGATATAATTAGAAAGAAAGAAAATTAAGTTTTTCCAATTGTATAGAAATTGTTTCATGTTATGCTGTATTTAAGCAATTGCATTTCTGCACCCTTCATTAATGTACATTAGCTAAAGTAGCCTAAATGGATGAAAATTTTGTAAGATTTCAACAAAGCATTTGCTGTTGTTTCTTCTAGGAATGGAAGACATCATAAGAGGAGCTCAAGAACTTGATAACATCATCAAGCAAGGATACTTGGAGAAGAAGAGCAAAGGTACTGATTGGACCCACAGATCTCAGAACATGCCAGGAAGGGAAGGGAAATAAGGAGAAAGAGGACTAACATATTGGGTACTTTCTCTTTGTCCAGCACTGTGGTAGGCAGGTGTAAGGCAAAAGCCAAGGAAAGAAAAGAAGTGTGATATTTTAGCATAGGCTGAAGATAGATGGCCCAAAATCTCCAGAATACAACCGGATTGTTAGCTTCATCAGGACAGAGACTGGCTCTGCCTTGCTCACCACTGTAACCCCAGTTCCTGGCACACAATAGGTATTTAATAAATAATTGTTGAGTGAATGAATGATGATATTCTTGTCCTCATCTCTCAGTGTGTTCCCATAAGGAGTGAAACTTTTCTACCAAGACTGTAATTTTTATATCATATGTGAAGCAATCCACTTTCAAATTTCAGACAAGCCCAGATGTGGACCCTTAACTCATTTGATTAGAATATAGTACGACTAGGGTTGGAGTCCCAGATTTGACACTGACAGGCAAATTGGCTTAGCATAAAGCAAGCCTTTCTCATGACAATGGCCCAGAGCATCATTTTTGTTTGCCAAAAGGCAGCACGTAAAGATGTCATGGAAAATTTGAAAAATGCAGGATGAGATTAGAATCTGAAAGATATAAAGGAAGCTAGCTAGAGAGACAGCTGTGAGCGGGCAGAGCAGGCAACCCTGTTTTGAACTTGGACCGTTAACCGAGCTTGTCCTCTGGACTCAGAGTAATGTGGGATAACCTGTGGGAGTGAAAGGGAGGGTTTTACAGTCCATTAACCTGGGAAATAAAACAATAACACACTGGACTGTGCGTTGTCGGATTTTTACGGACTCTTCAGTGATTGTAGTTACCTGAATTTATGTCCCCGACTGCTGTTCCATTTAGATCATAGTTTCTTTGGATCGGAGTGGCAGAAGCGATGGTGTGTTGTCAGCAGAGGCCTCTTCTACTACTACGCTAATGAGAAAAGTAAGTGTTCTTCATTTGCACAGCAGCATCTCACTCCTGGATGCAAGCACTTCGTAAATTCTCAAGCACTTAGATCTCAAGGTAGCAGTCCTTAACTAACACTCATAAAGGGACACGCTTGGGAAAGAAATAGAAATGGGTAAATAATACTTCCCCATCACCAAAAACTCAGAGGGCAATTTAGAAAGCATTAACCCATTAAAAATTATCATAGTGTGATCAGCATATCAAAGGGTTATCTTCTCTTTTGACTAATAACAACATTATCAGAAATGAACACTTAGGTTTCTTTTTTAAAGAAAAAAAGGTCAAAACTCTGTATAGTCATTAGTAACATAGTTAAAATATTAGGAAAAAATAAACCTGAGAAAGATTTAAACAGTTTACCAATGGTCCAGAAATAGACACCTGCAGTCCAGATTCTCTAAGAGCATGCTCTGAATGTTATCCTGCTAACTACTGGGAAGTAATCCAGTGGACATCCCTAGAGCCAAGAAATGTTGAGACTCAAATGGTTGCTGTGCCCAGGAGACACCCTTCAGCCAGATGGCAGCAGCACTGAAGTGTTGACTCAGGCCAGAGGCAGCTTCTTAATGAGCTACCACTGACTCAATCAAGCACAACACTCATGAGCTATCCCTAGAAGACCTCCCATCCATGTTTAACACAGTTGCTTAGTTTGTGAAAATAGAGGATATAAGTACAGATTGGAGACAGCTACAAATAAATACAAGCTAGAAATTATCATTGTACATGAATGCAAAGTTTCAAATAGGGGATACTCTTCTGCAGAGCTGGACTGCCCCATGAATTCTAAGAAGCAAGACAAAATAAAGTAGAGCATCAGTTCTTGTGGGGCTTTCCTTGTGCCCTACCATCTTCATACAGAGGCCAGTGATCCAGAGTAGACCGTTTTTCTTCTAATCATTTTCTATTTCTCCTCTCCCACCCTCCTCTTTTCCCAAACTTATTCCTTTCCCAATGCCTGCATATCCAATCTAATCCCATTGCCATCAACTCATAGCAACCCTATAGGACAGAGTAGAACTTCCCCATAGGGTTTCCAAGGAGTAGCTGGTAGATTCAAACTGCTGACCTTTTGGTTAGCAGCCAACCTCATAAGCACTGGGCCACCAGAGCTCCGCATATCCAGTCTAGGAACATCTTAATCAGACATCTGCCCAGTTGCCTTTAGACTTCCTGTACCTTTGGCACTACGGCAGAAGAAAGAGCTACAGCTTTGCTAAGTGACTTGTAATCCTTAAGATTGCCCTCTGGCTTTGTGGCAATTGCCTCACCCTACCTCTCTGCCTACAACAGTTATCACTGACCTTCATCAGGGTTCACCATCTTAGATTCCTCAGAGCCTTTCCCACCTGGGGTAAAGGGAGAAGCCCTACTTGGAAATGATAGCATAGTTTAAAAACTGAGTAACAAGTCCCCTGCGTCCTTCCAACCCCTAGCCTACTCTCAAATCCAGCAACCACAATTTTTCCTCTGAGTTCGAGGCATGCAAGCAAGCCAAGTGTTTTGTTTTTTGTTTTTTTTTTATCTTTAAATTAACAGGACATTTGCATTATTGTAAAAATATTCGTCATTGCCTTGCATTTCAATAAGTGATTGGCATATCTGGAAATAAAACCAGATATCACATCCATTCATTCAGAATTCTTTTACTCACAGTGAGAGATAGAGACCAAGAGCAACAGACTTGGAGACTTTTATTGACCATTTTTCTGTCAGAGTGAAATAAAATCTGGTGACCAAAGAAACAACAAAACACTATAGTGGCCAGTTAGAACAAGGAGAGATACTTTAACAAAAAAGATTCTGATGTCAAAAAGCACTGTTGCATGGCTCCCTTCTCGCCAGTTACTTCTTATTGTGCCCAGGATATTTTCTTACTAGGTATAGAGTGTTTGTGTATTTCTTTTAGCTCAACCAGCTGAAGACAGAGCCATTTTCTTTTCTTTTTTTTTTTTTTTTTAGTATTGTAATTCCACTGCCATCCTTATCATCATCGTCAAAAAGCATTTATTAAACAATCCATTCCACATGCTAGGGCACAGAGTATCACCCAGACATTGTGGTTCCTATCCTTTATGCATTCTGCTGCCTAAATCACACGATGAGGACCCCCAATCCTTGAGAACTACCTCCTCTTTTCCTGTTTCTTGTATTTTATTTTTTTAAGGGATGACAGCAGAGAATTCTCTCCTTTCCTTCATTTAGAGTCTTTTTCATTTTATCTCCTTCCTCATCATCTAATGATACTCAACAGCACTCTGCTAGTTCCCAATTTGACCTCTTGAAAGGAGAATAAAGTACTGAATTTTTAATTATACACCCTATAGCATAAATTCCCACCTTACTGGCAGGGGAGGGGGGAGCAGTTTAGCCCAAATGCCACATAGGGAATAGGGGGATCCCGGGAACTTTCAGTGCCCCCCACGGTGCTGTCCCTCCCCTTGAATGGGAGCTGTGCTGGCCCTGATAATAACACTTCAGCTCTGTAATAGCCTTCAAGAGCTTCACATTTACAGCCACCCTCTCCCGGCTGTAATAATTCCTTCTTTTGTTATTATAGATCTCTTAACATTCTAATAAATTCTCTGTCTCTGTTGTACTCTTTTGGCAAAATAACCTTTCATGTTGCATTTCCCTAGCTTGGCAGTGATATCTGCCTTGCTGTCACAGTAGCCTCTTCTTAAGCTTCCCTAATAACCTTTCCTTGACTATTTGTGGTTCCTAAGGGATGTAACAGCTGTTTCTGTGCTTTTCATTTTACATACCAGAGAAGATGCCTTCCCTTGGCAGTTGCATCTCTCTAGGGATACAAGGAGATTTCCTGTCTTGCAGGCAAGCAGCCCAAAGGGACCTTCCTTATTAAGGGCTACAGTGTACGGATGGCCCCCCACCTGCGAAGAGATTCCAAGAAAGAATCCTGCTTTGAACTGACTTCACAGGATAGGCGCAGCTATGAGGTAGGACGAACTGAGGAGATGGTGATCCTCATTAGTGTTGCATGTGAGCTGTGGTTGCCATGCTGGGTTCCATCCTTTCTTTGTTACCTGCTCATTTCTTACCAATGAAGACCCTCTTGCTTGACGTGCCCTCACCTTTGCTATGACACTTCTTCTCCCACTCTCATCCTAGATACTGACTTTGCTTGGCTTCTATCTCATTCTCCCTCCCTTTCTCATTCTCACACCATGGGTGAAATTCTTGTCTGTTAACAACACACGATCCAGTTCCTTGTTCAGCGTCTCTAATTTCATGGCTTTAATTCCCATTCTCTTCATTTTTCAACTACTCATCTTTACTTCCTTCCATGAAATCGAGAAAAAGGAAAATCTAACTGTAGAGTACAAAATAATTTATTTTCCAATATTCATCTTGTTAAGGAGCCCTGGTAGCTCATTGGTTCAGCACTCACCTGCTAACCAAAATGTCAGCACTTTGAACCCACCAGCCGCTCTGTGGGAGAAAAGATGTAGCAGTCTGCTTCTTAAAAGATTTACAGCCTTGGAAACCCTATGGGGTGGTTTACTCCATCTTACAGGGTCGCTATGAGTCAGAATTTGACTCCACAGCAATGGGTTTGGTTTGGCTTTTTATTCATCTTGTTGTCCAAAATAACCTTCCTGTATCTATTTATGTGTAGACGCATTGTGTATCTCTGGAAGGGTTTCTAAAATATCAATGACAGTGGTTGCTGAGTATTAACAGTAGTAACTGAGGGACTAGAAGGAGGGGGATGAACAGGGGAAGACTTATGCCTCACTGTATTCAGTTTTACCCATTTTGAATCTTTACCTCATAAATTTATTAACTATGTTTGAATTAATTATAATAATAAAAATTTCTGACTATATGAATATAATGATTTTCACCAAAAAAAATTCTTTTACATATGTATGTGTGTATACATATTTTTTTCTGCCTGTTGGTAATTTTTATTTTAACACAATTTTATAAAAGCAGTTTAGAAAATGTTTAGCTAACTATGAAAACCATACTGAAATTAATCAATATTAACCACTCAAGTAGCTCTTTGTACTCTTCAGATTTTTCTCAGCATTCATCGTTTATGTTTCTACAGTATCTTAACCCCTATTTTGATAAAATGACCTAGGTCTTCATTAAACAATTTTAAAATGTTTAAAACTTTTCTAGAGTCGTTTAGAGATGTATACAATATAGACGTATGCACTGTGCATGTTGCTAAGTTATTTTTATTGTTAAATTCTGGTGGTGCCTCATCCAGATAAAAGTTTGTATGACAAGTCTAAACTAATTTTCCAGGAATTTTTTATAGAAATGCATTTTTAAAAAATGAAGAATGACAATGTGTATTAATAAGTATTAAGCAGGAAGCTAGGTTTCATACACAGCATGTATTTTTATCTTACCCTGATGGCCAGATGATAAAAATGTTCTTTAGTAACAGTCATTTCAAGTTGATTTATTTAAAATAAAAGAACAACTAAGGGTTGATTCTTGACTGGCCTGTTTTGTGAATCAAAATGTAGAGTTTGTTTACTTCTTCTTTTCTTTGGCCCATTTAATCCAAATCATTACCATGGTCTGTAGATTCTTCTTCTGCAATATCCTTTGGATCTTTCTTGTCTTATTTATTCCCACAGCCATCACAATAGTTAAGTCCCTATCACTTCACCCGGAGGACTAGTTAAACAGCCTTCTAGTCAGTCTTCTGTCTCCAATTTCTTCCTGTTCCAATCTCTTCTACCCATGACTATTGGAATAATCCCCCACTCCTTTCACTAGAATTTACAGTGGCTTCCTGTTGCCTGCATTTTAAGTCTGAAGTCCTAGTACTCAGAGCCCTTCTATCAACTCTTCTGTGACCCTCAACTCTCCAACTTCATCTATTATTATTCTCTAGTCAAGTAGATCTGCCTACCTTCCCCATACATGATGTTTCATTCCTATTCCTTTGCATATGGTTCTCCTTACCTGACATGTCCAGTTCCTTCCACCAGTTCTTTTAAAATCTAACCAAAACAATATTACTTCAACAGCCTCCCTGACTTACTTTAGGCAACAGTAAGTGTTCCCTGTCTTCTTTCAACATCCAGTTGTTATCAAATGCACCTACTTTGTAGTGTTCCCATTCCGTGTATGTATGTTGTCTCCATAACTGATACATTTTTCTTTGAGGTCAGGAACTTTGGTTTAGTTTTGTTCTTGTTGTTTCTGTAAACCTTTCTCAAATAAATGCTTGATGAATGAATGGATGATCAAATGAATGAATGCACATAGACATGAATGTTCGGACATAGTGTAACTCAAATAGTTGTCATCTCTGGGTGTACAAAATTGCTGAAGGAAAAAATTCTTTTTCGAGAGAGGTATTTGATCTTTTATCTAAATATTAAGCTGGTAGAGGACCTTGAGCTTTAAATTTGATTCTGAAACTCAACTCTCATCTTCCTCCCCTTAAGCCTCCCTATCAGGATTTGTGGGAATTTTAGTGAAGATAATAAATTAACTCACTAATTTTTCTCCAGTTTACAGCTTCTAATCCAGCTGAAGCCAGAGACTGGGTGGATCAAATAAGCTTCTTGCTAAAGGGTAAGTGTCATTATTATAATAATCAGTCTTGAGTGGATTTGCAGTTGAAGTTATGTTGCATAAATATAATTTACAGGCTTCAGTACATATTTTTTCTGCCCTTTCTCCCTTCCAACTTCCCCACCACATTTCCTATAACAATGAATAGTCTCATGTATGAATCATCAACCTGCAGATGACCTCTGATATGATTCTAGCACATCCACCTACCTACAGGCAAGACTATAATGTTTATAATCACTGGAAAAGAAGATTCTGAAAACTAGCTCAGCCTAGTTCAGTGTCTCTCAACCCCTTATAGTCTGGAAAGGAAATTCATGGTATCAAACTTAAAGTCATCTAGTTGCAATTTAGGTCCAAAATCATCTTGTTTTAGTCTTTGTAGGAAGGAAAAATATAAACTAATTTCAGTGGCCTTCAGAGACGTTGGATGTTAAAAACAAATTGCTGTTTCCCAACCTATAAGAAAATGCCCCTTGCTTTGAGGTGGGAAGCGTCCTGCCTGATGATGTTAAATGACTGCTCTTAGAGTACCCTCTGCTGGCCAATCTGCAGGCACAGCAGTGACAGTGGATAAAAAGAAGAAAGCACCAGAGCTTTAATTACAAGAATTGCCTATTTTACTCAGTTATGTTTTTGCTATCACAAAAACAAACTATTGCATCTACCAAGAGCGTCACATATAATGGACTGGAACTAGGCAAACATGAGCATTGATGGCAAGACTACAGGGTACACTCTCATCTAGGTGCCTTGGATTTATGCGTGTAATATACCCCTAAGTGTGTAAACCTCAATAAAACTCAAAGCAGCTTTATTGAGCTGTACCCTGTGGTACTTTCAGAATCCCACATTGAAGAAATTATTCATTCCATTTTATTTTTAAACAAACAAAATAATAACATATGGTTCAAGCCACAAACGTATCTTTGGTCCTTTCCTCATATGAGGTGGCACCAGAATTTAGAAGAAAATGTTGCAAAATCTTTATTAAAAGCCTAATCAAGCCAAACAGTTTTATTGTATTTTGAAATGAGTCTTGGATGGCTCTACATCCTTTCCTTCCCCAGAGTACGTTGACTGCACTCGCCCATCCTGCAGAGGCCCTCCTTCGGCAGAGTTTCAGAGAGCACTCTGTACTGCACGCCAGAGAATGAACCTTCCCAGTTCCCCATTAAAATCAAAAACTAATCTCCCTCCCCTTTCCTGGTGCTCCCCACTGCTGTAATGGCTCAACATCCTTTAAGCGGTGACCCACTTTAAGGTCAGCCAGACTGTATAGTTGCAAAAGGACATTGTAACTACCTCGTTCAGCCATTCCATTTGGTCTTATATTACTGTTCTGTTTTTCCATACCCTGCTTTCTTTTCCTCTTCCACTTTTGCCCATTTTTCTGTTTACAAACAAACTTGTGTGAAACTCTGCAGTGAGATCATTGAGGACATGGGCTTCTGACAGCTCAGATCTCCTACCAAAGCCACCATGCTTCCCACAGCTCTGTGCCCTGGAGACCCTCAGGCCATCACTCACTCTTCCAGTTTTCTACTTGACGAGCAGTGCATGGCACATTGGCATTTCCTTTTCTGGCCTATTTTCTCCTTTTCACCTCACGTTCTCATTCACAGTCCCATACTTTTCAGGGCTGCTTCATCCTGATCAAGTTTTATTGCAAGAAAGGATTTATGTTGATGGCTTAAACCTGACGCAGTGCTAGTCTGGCCTTTTCTGCAGATTTCCTGCCACGAAGGCCCGCATTAGAAATAACAGCACTTAACCTAGTGTGTCATTTTCTTTTGACATGTTTTATTCTCATCCCTCCTCCTCCTTCTCCCTCTTCCCTTCCCTGCCTTATTCTTTTCTTTATATCTTGATTCATTCTCATCTTTGCCCTGGCAGATCTGAGCTCCTTAACCATTCCATATGAAGAAGAGGAGGAGGAGGAGGAGGAAGAAGAGATGTATGATGATATCGATGGTTTTGACACCCCAAATTCTGGTTCCCAATGCAGACCCATTATCTTGCCTGGTAGTATGGGGATAAAAGAGTCTGCAGAGGAGGAAGAGGAAGAAGATATTTATGAAGTCTTACCAGGTGAGAAATGTCATCTTCTAATTGTCTTCTGATAGTTTCAGGAACTCTTGACCTGGTAGAAGAACATAACTTTGAAAACTCCAGAGGTAGCTAAATCTAACCTTCACCTTCTGAAGGAGATAATGTAGGGAAGCTGCAGGGGAACGTCTGTGATTCTCAGCATAAAAGCTCTCCCTTGCTCTGGGAGCAGGATGAATTTGAGCAATGGGTGTCTCATCTGTGCCATGTAATTTCTTAACATATGTGGACAAGGTTAAAGAGTCATGCTGGCTTTCATGGGTTTACTGTGAGTTTGGAATGAGTCATCTAAACTCTCTAGTTTCAACTTCTTGTCTGTGTAATTGTGAGAATAATGGAAAGTTGCCTCAAAACTATGAAGGACATCAAAAGTCCATAGGAATACACATAAATGCTGACAAACCTTTTTAGTAATACAATGCAAACCCTGGTAGAGCACAGCCTTGCTCAGATATACCATGAATCAAATCACATCTCTTAAAAATGAGCCTAACATGTTGTCTCTGCCCACCACAACAGCAGGTCTACTGAATATATTTCTTTTTTCCAGAGGCATGATAACTGGTATCTCAAAAAATGTATAGTCATCACTGCTTCTGCATAGCCACTCCTTGTGGGGATGACAGCAGCTGGTGAACAGTGCAAAGCACAGTGGGGTTCAGACTGTGGAAAACCAAAGCCTGAGCCTTTTAATTGTGAGGTCGTTAGACCACAGGAACGCCAAATCCTCAAGTCCATTCAGAAAGATCGTTCCTGTGGAAATTTGCCAGTAGTTCAGTGCTCTGCTGAGGAATTCAAGTTAAGCCTAAATTTATAGCAATGTAAGCCTCAATCTCAGGTGAACTTAAGAACTAAGGTGAATCCAACACTCAAGTCCCTGAAGACAGGGCTCGTTGCTAAAAAGCATCATCAGTAAGTAACTGGCATTTCAAGCTTCCTGAGAGTCTCCAACCCTCTCAGAGGTACACTTAGTCTCTTCCCTAGGGGAGAAGCCATGTCATTGCTTCCTGAGTCAAGAAGCAGGTGTTCCTTCCTGCGGCCACACATCTCCTCCCTTCCGGGGCCTCCAGCCACCAGCCACCCAACCACCAAGAAGAGCCTGCTGCTTCTCCTAGCACTTCCAGCCTTCCGACTTCCCCAGCCTTTTTGTTGTGTTTTATTATGCAAATGATATCTTGGCTGAGGTTGAGCCATTTCTTGTGTCTGAAGTTAAAAAAAAATGATAATTTCCTCAGCAAGTCATCGTCGTTAATGAAGTTTTACAAAAACAGATACAACCAAAGGAAAATAAAATTTCACAGGTGATAAATTTTTCCAATTTCCCTGGCAGAATTCGATAGGATTGTTAAATTAAGAGTGAAGGTGTCTGTTAGAAAGCAACGAGCAGTGATGGGTAATTTTATAGAGTGGAAAATTGAATCAAATTGCTACATTAAAACACAGCTCCTCTGAGAATCTTCTCTTTCACAGTCTGCTCCATTGCAACAGCAGGGTGCAGAAATGGATCTAATTCACAACACTCTCTAAAAGGAGATGCACTCCCCAACTTGGCCAGAATCTTCCTAGTAAGCTCTCATTCCGCTCTGTCCTGCCCAGGCTTGGGGAAGTATCCGGGTGACAATCCACTTTGGGTTACAGCTGTGGAAGAGTGCTCTGGGGAAACCCACTGACCCTCTCAGCCTTCTCGGGAGCAAAGAAAGGCCTTTTCGTTCACCATGTTTTGTTCTCAAAGGGGTGCTGATGCTCAGAGATGCAGAGCAAAAGGAGGGTAAAGGGAAAGAGACCTCAGAAAATAAAAGAGTTTGGGGCCTGTCCTTATCCCAAGTGGGAACAATGTATGTATGATTGGCTTAACAATCGCCCTCCTCCCACCTCCTAAACTACCCTCAGCCAGTGCAGCACTGGAGGAGGGTATCAGAGTATTCCTCCAAAATTCACACCAGTTTGAATGTTGGAGTGGACCCAAAGGCATGCAGACTAGTCTGCTTTCTTGAGGAAAGCCACTTACCCTGTGTCCACAACAACTGTTCATTGGAAGTGAGGAAGGTCACACAGTAGGAAAACCAGGACCTCTTTCTGCAAGTTAACAAAACTGTGGCTACCTTGCCTCTAAGTTTCCAAAGGACAATGCTGTACCCAGCCCACAGGTTCTTCCCTAAAGCCTCTATCCATCACTGCTTTTAAAGTGAGCACTGGAGCTGGGAGATACTGGCATTTAATTATGATATGAATATTTCAGCCACAAGTCTTTTATCACCCAGCTCCCATCCACTCCACTCAGCTTGTTGTTTCAGAAATTGCTTTTAGTTTTACATGTGCCACACCACAGGTCTTAGAGGAATTGACAGACAATGTAAGGGGGCCTAACGTCTCTCCCTTTGCCTCCATCTCACAAGACCCCCTACTGAGTAGCAACAGGTGAGAGACAGCATGGTATCACAGGTAAAAGTGCTGGGTCTAAGTCTGAATGAATCTGCTCTGCCACTCACTAGCTGTGAGACCTTGAGCAAGTTGTTTGCCCTCTCTTTCTCTGATTTTCCCACCTGTAAAATGGGAATGATAATAATAGCTACCTTAGAGGGATGCTGTCAGGAGTTTACAGCTGATGCATAAAAAGCACTTAGAATAATGCTCTGACATACAGTGAGCACTCAGTAAATGTTGGCGACCCTATAGGACAGAATAGAGCTGCTCCATAGGGTTTCCAAGGAGTGGCTGGTGGATTCAAACTGCCGACCTTTTGGTTAGCACCTGAGCCCTTAACCACTGTGCCACCAAAAAGAAAAAAAAAACCCCGTTGCTGCCGATTCCGACTCATAGTGACCCTATAGGACAGAGTAGAACTGCCCCATAGGGTTTCTAAAGAGTACCTGGTGGATTCAAACTGCCAAGCTTTTGGTTAGCAGCTGTAGCTCTTAACCACTACGCCACCAGGGCTCCATTTTTAATTTGGTGGTGGTTAAATAGGAAATGTTACCTCCTTGAAGAGTTAGGGGATGGTTAGAACCCTGCCCTCACACCCCAACCAGACCTGAGACAGCCCTGTTGAACATTTTCAGCTATGTGTATGAAGCAGGTGAAATTGAAAATCCTGAGCAGATGGAATGTGGAGCACACCTTCTGCTCAGGCCCATTTTTACAGCAAGGCCAGGTGCTGGGTGGAGGGACAGCCGACATACCGTTGGATTATGCCAACATTGCATACCCATCAATAGTCAGATGACTTGGGCCTCTAACATTTGTTTCATTATAACAGGTGAATCTGCTTTGTGGAGACTATTTAGCATTGATAGTTCTGCTAATCCTTCCTGTTTGGGATAAGGCCTACACACGCCCTCACTTTCTCTATGAGGAAGCCCATATAAGTGAGATCTCTCTTCCAGAGTATAATTTAGATGAGCTTCCTAGGAAAGGGAAAAGTGCCTGTAACACATAGCAAGTCAATAAAAAAAATTTTTTTTCCTAATCAAGATAATGTATGGGTCATCAAATTAAACATACTGCATCACATTAATCATGGGGATAATTAGCTTTTGCTATGTGGCTAGCACTCTCCTACCCATGAGGGGAAACCAGAGCTCTTTCAGTTTTCAGCCAGACCACAAAAATGTTAGTCCTGGACAAAATGGTTTCAAGGTTGGCATCTGATGGGATATCTGAACATCCGTGTTGAGCATATGGGGGTCCTTGATTTTTAAGATCTCATTTGCAGTAGATTAAATTACAGAGAACTACCACAAAGAAATGCTAAATCAATATGGAAAAAATTGGAGGCTTTTCTGAGCCCTTCCTCACCTCCCTGAAGTTGTTTTACAGGCCAGTACAGGTCCAGTTTCATGAATCAAGATTCCATAAAAGGCTAACTTTTATCAGGTTTTTCTGTGTTTGGGACCACAAGACTGGAATCCAGCAAGGCACCTGAGATCATTGAAGAGCTGTAACTTGGGCCCTGCAGCAGCTGTAGCAACAGAATCTGGCTCTGTTCTCTAGAGATTCTAGGACAGCAAGAAAAAAAGGGATGAAGGTCCCTCCCTAGGAATTTGTGTGCATGTTCCATTGCTGCCCACATGCCCAGGAGCTTATCATAGACCCCGAAACCAAATTGCTTTATAATAAAGCATATAACTGTGGTTTGATTTGGTTTTGTTTAATTTGAGTCAAATGGAAATAAACATTCTGTGGAATTATTTTTCCCCCTGTATAGCTGTCCAGACCCACAATTTGTCTAAGAAAAAAAAAAAAATGGAGCAGACACCAAAGATGTAAAGCTTATGAAGAAAGCAATCTCCAATTCATAGAAAAGCAGCACTCTATGGGAGGAACATCATCAGGTCTCCTCTGAGCTTCCTGGCCTTTTCTCCCTCTCACTTCCATGCATACTGGACCCCGGCCACATGGTGCTACTGCTTGGCCAACCTCTAAAGTGGACTCATGCTGTGTCTTCTACCTAGAATAAAAAAAAAAAAACCCAAACCCATTGCCATCAAGTCGATTCTGACTTATAGTGACCCTATAGGACAGAGTAGAACTGCCCCGTAGGGTTTCCAAGGAGCATCTGGTGGATTCGAACTGCCGACCTTTCTGTTAGCAGCTAAGCTCTTAACCACTGCGCCACCAGGGCTCCACCTACAATACTCTTCCCCTAATCTCAGCCTATGAAATCCTACACATTGTACTCAAATATGTCTCTTCTGTGACACCCTCCTAGATACTCAACAGGAATTAAGCTTTGTTTTAGTCCTTACCACAGTTATTTGTGTTCAGATCTTTCCCCCTCAATCAGTAGGTGCCTAATTATTATTTGGAGTCCTTGAGTGGTGCAAACAGTTAATGTGCTCTGCTGCTACCCGGAAGGTTGGAGGGTCAAGTCTACTCAGAAGCGCCTTGGAAGAAAGGCCTGGTGATCCACTTTTGAAAAATCAACCGTTGAAAACCTTGTGGAGCACAGTTCTCCTCTGATACACATGGGGTCACCACAAGCCGGAATTGACTTCCTGGCACCTGGTTACTGGTTTAATTGTTGTTTGTGGAATTAAATTAGGTACATTTCAAGTGTTGCAGTTGGCACAAATGAAGTTTAATATTCATCAAGACCATACTATGGAGATAGGATACAAATATTTTGAGGTACAGTTGAAATTACCAAGTACACAACAGAAAACTAAGTGTATTATTAGCATCTTGCTCATTGTTTTCCATGTTGTCTGAAGAGGTGCTATAGCATCCGTAAGATTTATAACATTAACTGTGCCATGCCATGGAGTGGTTTCCATTGCTACTCTTCTGCATGTTCCCTTTGGACTTTGAGTTTCTCTTTCTGTATTTCTGTTGCATCTGTCACCAGAGTACCTTGACATCTGGTTGCACTTTGATGTACTTGGTGTTTTTTAAGCTTTTGTCACTTTGCTTTATCTAAGGGAATGATTTTGCCCTCTTTCTGATCTAGTCAGCTTTATAATATGAATCTGTGCATCGGTTTAGTCGGTGTCAGAGGGGCGTCAGAGCAGCACTTCAGAAAGGAGCCAGGTGTCATGGGAAGCTGGCTTCTCTCTGTCCCTCTGAGGTGGATTCAATGTCCTGTTCCTCTCAGCCTCTCATTAGTGTCCCTGACATCGTGCCAAGAGTGTTGATTGAAATCGACTCTCTGGATACTGATGCTCATTTGTGATGCCCCGTGGTTCTCTTACGTGTTCACACAATTAACAGAATCTTCCTCAACTGTTTTCCCAATTGAGATGAGATATTTGGGAATCAAGTAGAGCATTTAATGTAATAAGTGGACAGTAATCTTTAGAGGTTAATTTGTTTAAAACCTATGGAAGGTTGGGGTCCCATATGCCCTATTAGGAGCAAGGACCATTATAATCTATTACTGTTTAAAGTTGAGCTAGCACATAAATTTTCATTCTCTCTTAAATGAAGATGTATTTCAGTAGATGTAATGCTAAAAATGCCTAATAATGTTTTTATAAAGAAAATCAACAAGCTCTTTTGTCTAAAATAAATATTTTTCAAAACAGTCTATTTAAAATTAAAAATCTCACAGATTAATAAGAACAGGGAATTTAATTGTTTAACCTGCCCCCTTTTGTGAATAGAAAGATTTTTTCTATCACCATATAATCAATTGTCTTGCCTTTGGAATTTGGAACATACCAATGTGGTTTCATTGAAGGGTCTGAGATAAATTGTATGCCTCTCTATTTGTATTGTGCCCTCTGAAGCTTAGAAGGTGCTGGAGGGTGTGCCTTTCATAGCCAGCTATGGAAGCCAGCTTGTGTACCCTTCCCTATGTGATGGTGCCCCATTCTCAGTCTTTCAAAGGCCCTAGAGGCACAGCACCTAGCCTCTCATGTTAGTAGCAAGGCTTCTTGCCTTGCACCCATTTTCAGCTACCCGGGAAGGACAAAGTTAGATGTGGGGACTGGAGCTCCCCAGTTCGCATCCATCACCGCAGAGTTTAGTAATGGTGGTGAATGATATATAAGATCCATGGCCAATGTTCTGCTTTCTTTCTAGGTGACTCCAAAGGCACAATGGAAATCAGAGTACCGGGTCTAGAATTGAACTGCATAAAACAAATTTGTATTTTTTCCATTTTTGTATCATCACTAGATTAAGTGCTGTTGCCTGAAAGGATAAAGGAATCAAGTGTGGGTTTTCTTTTTATCATTGCAAATACATTTACATTCTCCTGTTTTACAAATGCAAAGAGCAGGCAAGCCACTTTCAATAATTTATTTTAAAATCAATGCTAATGAGGTTATGTCTTGTCAGTGGCCGAGTTTTACAATAAAGTCTGATTTATTTAGAAAAGATCTTTGGTATAGCTTCCCATCTAATGGTGGTGGGAAGGAGGTGGAATAGCAGGCACGGTGACCCTCCAACTTCGGATCCAATTTGTAATTCACAGCGGAGAGCTGACCCAATTTACATTGATTAGAATTGGGAGGAAGAGACAGCTGCGCACAGACAGCAGAGGTAGAATAAACTCTCTCTGCGAAAGTGCCTAAGCACAGCAAATTATTGGTCCTCGTGATTGAGTTGTTTGATATCAGCAGAAGAGCTGCTCTCTGTCCAGATTATTGGGTATCTCTAAAACCGAGGATGTGCCAGCTCTTGTTTTAGTGTTTTCAATCCTGTGAGATTAGTCCCACATCAAAAAGGAAAAGCATCACAGCAGAGGAAGGAAGGAAGTGGACAAGTAATGAGAAGACAATGTGCAAAGAATAATGTTTAATATAATTTATTTCAGCATGATCTATTTTCTATATTTCATTTCACTCCTCCGTTATCTCACGATTTTATTCTTGGAGGTAGGGGGTGGGGAGGACACACTACAGGTGGTCAGTAGGAAGTTCTCTGCTGCTATGTCATCCATAACATAAGGGTTGAGTCAAAGTGCTCCATTTCCCAAAGCAGCTTGTAGGGCAAGTATATTTTATTTTATCTTGTTAACAGGTGACTTATTTCCCCAGAGTATCAATCCCTTAATTTTTATTTTTGCAGGGAACTGCTTCATTTTTTTATGTGAAATCATTTACTTCTTTAATGTTCTATAGTGTTCTAACATATTTTTATGCGGCTTCTTCTTACCTATGAGCTTGGAATTTACTTGCCCCAGTCTGACACACCAGACCTCATACTGCCCTGTGAACCTTACATTTAAAAAAAAAAAGGAATGAGCCCAGGCCATCTCCTCAGAAGTTCAGTTTAGTGGCATAGCTATGGGGAAGCAAGACAGGCATGTGCCCTAAGACCCAGAAAGAGAAAACAAAGAAATGTGGGCAGAAGAAACTGAGTATGCAGCCTTCAAAATGTGCTTATTATGCCCCATCCATTGTGTAAGAGTGTGTTTGTATATGTGTGTGTAGAGGGTGATAGTGGTGAAAAAGGAGAATAATGACTATATTTTTGTTCATTTTTTCTATGTATAAAATAGCTAGATATGATTCTGGTAGTCATGTTTTCTTTATAAAGGCCCAATTTCCATTTTATCAGGTAACTTGAAGTCTGAGATAAAACAGATTAGTAAGGGTAAGAAACTTAGTCCAATCATGTTGTGAGTTTTTTCATATAACCCCTGGACTGGAGTTAGACAATAGCATTGACTTAGAACCCATAGTGTACCTATAGCAATTAATTAAAAGACCATTGCAACTTCCTTCAGGAGCTTACACTCTAATGAACAAAGAAGGCTGAATGACAATAGTAAAAAGATAGCTACAAGCCCCAAGTACTAGGAACATAAACTTATGTACATGATAGCCTCAGCTACAGCTGAACAAAGACTGATACAGTAAGGGCTAATTAATCACAGAGGTTTAAATATGTGCTTCACATAAAACACACGTACACACCCTAACTCTGGAGTGCCTGTAATCAGAAAGGATGCTTTCATGGAGATAATGAATTTTGAAGAGAATCCAGAAGGGGAGGAGAAATAGGGTTTGAGGAAAAGGATTAGGAGAGCCGTCAAGTGATAGGCACCTAAATAATCCAATCAATTAGAAGCTTCACAAGGGCAGGGACTCTGCCAGTCTCTGCATCCCCATCCTGGTGCAGTCAGGGCCTTGCATATCATAAGCACTTAAACATGTTTGTGAATGAATGAATGGGAACAAAAGAAGAAGAGGGCCAGTGTGAAGGTGAGAGATGATAAAAAAAAGAACATGGTAATTATACTTTCCTTGAAGAAGAGATGGTGATGAGCTCTGTTAGGGAAAGGAGACCCATCAGTATAAAGAACTTGAGATTTCAGCAACTAATTGCTAATGCTGATCCTTTTTATCTCCTCAGATGAAGAGCACAATCTGGATGAGGATGAGAGTGGCACTCGACGAAAAGGAGGTATGAGAGCTTTATAAATGCACAGGCACTGGCTAAGACATTCAGGCTTCCAACCGGAGAAAGCCCTCGTCCCCAAGGCTGAAGCATCACTGGACGTGCTAATAAAGAGGGTATTGGTGTGTCAACCCTAAAAGCTCCAAATAAGATGAGTGGCTAGGGAAATATCTTTAAAAGCAGCCACCCATTCACTTTAATTAATGTTCCCAGGACAGCTGAGATTTATCCTAGAGAGGGAGAAACCAAACCAGATATTTATTTTTTCCTATCAGTATTTCTTAAATCAGTTCAGTGAAAATAGAATTGCCTCATCTCTAAGAGATCAGAGGATTGAGAATGGAAAGAATGGAAATATCTCCTCTCTGAGAGACCCGGAGATTGCAAGTTCAGAGGGGAATGGAAATGTGTCAGATCTGAAAAGTGAATGTGGGGTGAAAGATAGAATGACTTGGTGATGCTGCCTTCTGATGGCCTGGTTTGATTCCAGGCACATTTGGAAATGAATATGTAACAGGTTTGTTGAATACAAAATTACATCTTATTCATCCCAGACATGCTTCAGGCTGTTAGTCAGCCCATTGTTTCTAAGATCAGATGTCCCTCTAAAGCCTCCTTAAGTGGTAGGAAACCCCACCAAGGACCTGTTCTTTCGACGTCAGTGAAGGAATGCAGCATGTTGCAAGGGCCACCTCAAGGACATTCATTCCAACAGCAGAGCCCGAATCGTGGCTGATTTAGATACTGGCTGATTTTTTTCCTAGAGATTCTATAAAATCTTAAGCCTAGGAGTTCTTTCCCTCCCCACTCCCTCTCCTTTCTGTGGCCCTACCTTTGCCACTTCTCCTCTCTCCTGCTTCTTTCCTTGTACCTTTTCTTCTCTTCCTTGTCCATTCAGCAAAGCTCCCCCCTGCCCCCCCCACGCCCCCCCACGCCCACCTTCTTTGGTTGTTCTCTATAGGAAGTAAATACTTAATAGGTTTAGTAAGGGCCCAACTTCTCCCACCCATTGCCATCAAGTGGATTCTGACTCATAGTGACCCTGTAGGACAGGGTAAAATTGCCCCATAAGGTTTCCAAGGCTGTAAATCTTGACGGAAGCAGACTGCCACATCTTTCTCCCACGGAGCGGCTGGTGGATTTGAACTGCCAACCTTTCGGTTAGTAGCTGAACCACTATGCCACCAGGGCTCCTCAGCTTCTCCCAGGAGAGAGAAAAGACAGTGAAGAGGCAGCATCAGAAATCATGTGTCAAAGCAGGAGGGAAAGAAAGCAACCAAGGCGAGTATGATGCAGAAATGTTAGCATAGCTTCAAGTACTTCATCATCATTAACACATATAATTAAGTCCATTTTGAAACCTATTCCAGGGATCCAGAATCCTTTAGAACACTGTTTTCTACTAGCCATATAGAATTCCAACAGAAAATCTGTTTCCTGACCAACCTTTCCCCCACTTAAGCCTTTTATCATCCAACTTCCATCACTGGAGCAGGAAAGAAAACACTATGTGGACAGCTTGGGTGGAATAACTATAAGATTCCTATGGCTAGTTTTATATATAAACTCCTTTCAGGAAGCAGCAGACTTCTGGCAAAAGTCTTAAAATTCAGTTTCAGACTCCTCCCTCATCTCATCTCCTCCTTCCGCCTTTCTCTCTAAGGCTCTATCTGGAGGGTTAAGGAGAGATTTATTTCTGAACTGTTCCAACAGCTATAATTCAAGTAGGTTTAAAAAAAAAAAAAAAAAAAACTTTTGTTCCTTATCTTCCTGCCTCCAAAATAGGTGTTGTTAAGTGTAGCAGGCTCTAAATATGTTTCTATGGTTTATACCTCTCACCAGTTACAATGATTGGTGACTCAGTGATTAAAAAATAGAGGAGGGCTTTTCCTCTCTCCACAGAATCTGAAGCAGGAATTTTTATTATTTGTGTTTACTTATTTATTGAATTTATATAGTGCCTTTTCTCCAGTGGAGCTATAGAAATGATGACAAATAAGTAATATCCAAATGTCATCACTTAACTTTATAACAATAAAATATAGAGGTCCAGAAGAAGGGCAGGCAGCCCCATGAAAGCATAAGAAAAGCAGGGCTCTAGGACTATGGTGAATTCTTATGTAATAAGCCAACTTTGCTTCACTTCGTTTTTCTCAGGTGTTAAATGCTTTTTGGGGAAAATTTTTATAAGCAAATTGTCCTTTCCCCTCTTTTCTCCTAGAAGGTACTGTGGCTACTAGCCATTCCATTATGACTCCACCATTCCATGGATCCTATTCCCCGAACGCTGTGCTTTTCCCCTATGGAATTGCTAACATTTGTAAGGCCCAGCTATATCTTATCAGAAGAGGGGGGAAAAGGAATTCAGTTTATCTTTATTGGGTGTTAATGACCCTGTAAGATGTAATTTCTTTTATTTTATTCTGTTACCTAGAAAATCTGTCACAGCCTTCTAGTATTGATTGTTCAATCTATAAAGAGCTCAGGTTACAGCATGACTGTTAGCAACAGGGTTATTTTAATGAGTGACTCTTCAACACCTCAGATTTTCACTAACTTCCAACCCATTAGTTTAACACTCTAACACTGCTGAGGGTCTTTGCTGATGAGAGCTTCCAGGTAACCAAGAATAAACTCACTCTGTGCTGTTTACATTAAAATTATTTGTCATTTGCTCGGGTGTGTCATGTCAAATAAAAAGCAGTCTGGAGGCATCCTTAGATATGTCAAATCCCTGACCAAGAAAGACCTTGAAACAGGTTATTTTTGCTCTGAAATTGTTGGCATACTCAGCCAAAGAGGGATCCAAGTTTTTGTGGAGGGTGGAAAAATGGTTGCTTATGAGCATTACATCTCTGAGGCAGTCTCCACCTTAAACCAGTTGTCATCAAGTCAGTTCCGACTCATGACAACCCCATGTGTGTCAGAATAGAACTGTGCTCCATAGGATTTTCCATTGCTGATTTTTGACTTTCTTCTGAGGTACATCTCGGTGGACTCAAACCTCCAACCTTTCGGTTAGTAGCACAGCATGTTAACTGTTTGCACCACCCAGGGACTGCTTTCCACTTTAGTACCTGCCAACGCAGTGAATTATTACACTAAAGAAGCAGAGGGAAGCCACAGAAGGTATATGCAGCTCTTGCCTTTTGAAACCTATTTCCCAAGACCAAACATCAGTTGATCATCAACCAGCTAAAATTTTGGCCCAATGAAAGGAACAAATGAGATGAAAATCAGGATCTGTGAGCATTCCTCACTTCAAAATCATATTATAACATTAAGGACCATAGTAATTTCAAAAGTTAAGGTAAAAGGGCCATGAAAATAAGCAAATAGCATTGCTCAATTGCTCTTCCTGCTTTGGTGTCCCTCCCTAGTAAATGGAGCTTGGTGACTTTTTTATACCTTCCCTTCTGAAAGAGTTAATGAGGTATCAGACAGAGTCAGCTTTAATGGGCTGAACATTTCAAGACCCTTCCAGTGGGGCCACTACTTTGGCCTTCCTTGTCCAAGTCTCACCATACCATGCTCTGGTAAGATTGGCTTTATCCATCTTCTCATTTTGTCTGTCTTTTCCATAATTTGTTAAGTGGTTGTACCCAGTGCCAGACCGCTTGGCACAGTCCTTTTGCTCATCAAGAAAATGTAAACAACCTGCTGGCCTGTCTTTTGCCTCTTTTCTCTGGTCATAGCTTGAATTCTGGAGCTACTCAACCTCCCCCAAACAAAAGCCCAAGGTGACATATGACCACTGAAAGGAACTCAGACAGGTTCTGTTGTCTCTAAGGAGTGGGAGAGGCAGAAAGGTCTCCTGGCCTTTTACTTTAGAACTCTCCACATCATGGAGGCTAATTCTCAAATATTGACTCTGTCAATAGTAGCACCAACTTGGCCTCAGTTACAGAAGAAATGACTATCACTGGTTATAAAGAACTTGGCGTGAAATGACAAATGCTTTGCAATAATACCTATAAAAGAGAGAAAACAATACTATTTTTTAACTTGGTCTGTTGCTGTTCTTCCTATGATATTTTGTTTGCTTGGAGCTTAGCTTCTCTTACATGGGATAAAGAAAGAAAATAAGATGCTGCCCCTTTTTTTCCTCAAGAAAAAAGTCCCTCTCAGCTCTGCTAGCAATTTAAATGCAGTGATCATACCCATTAGCTTCTCTATCATTGTAATTGTTGTTAATTGTTATAACTGTTTTAGTTATTAGTGGTGTCATTATTGCTCTAGGTCCTCTGCCTGTTTTATGCTGAATATATTAGTACTTTGCTTTTGAATTACCAGGCTTTATTTAGTGCATAGTTACGTTTTTTTGGAGAGACATTGAGAAATGCTGGCATTAAGCTTTATTCCTTTGTTTTTCATTCCAAATGGACAGACTGGAAAAAAAATAATTAGATGGAATAATGTCCTCAAAATGAGAATGAGAACGTTTCTGAATTAATTAAATGGTCAGAATGCTGCACCATTTCTGATCTCAGACTGCTGCCAGAGAAGTGTAAACCTAAAGAACCTAAATCCAGCCCATAGATGCAAGCCTCTCTCACAGACTTTCAATTCCCCTCACTGCTCTAAAGAAATTAAGAGTCTCCTCGTGTATTAGCATGTTTATAGGATAAGCTAGGCAAGCTTAGGGAATAGCCGGACTGGCGCTGCAGACTTCTAGGCCTTCAAGCTTTCCCTTTGGGCCTTCAAGCTCTGTCTTGGGGCCAAGCTTCAAGAATGAAGCCCCCCTCAGCCTTGCCTCTTCCCCTCTTCCAGGCCTTTAAATAACACCCGTTCAGCCAGGTTTTTGTTACATAGCTAAAGCTTCAGGGAAGCTTTCCCTGACCTCTCAGACTAGGTTAGACTCCCTATTATACACAACACCCTCACCTTCTTCGCAGACATCTCGCAATCATAAATAAATAAATGTTTGTGTAACTTATTTGTTCCCTGACTGCCTTCCCACTGGATGGTAGCCCCTGCGAGCAGGGACCTTGTCTGGCTCACTCTGTCATCCCCAGTGTCTAGCACAGCCCCTGACACTTAGGAGGTACTATGTACATATTTGCTAACTGTTGAGTGAATATAGTGAAGATGTGTTTATACCTACAGTAAATGCAAATCACACATGTGTTAGACAGGGAGTCTGCAATACGGAGTCAAGTCTCGTCCAGCTAAGGAATTAGTCCCTGATTTCCTTAATACCAGAATACCTCCATCTAGTGTTGTAGAGGAAAAACATCATCAAGTTTAGTAAAGCAAAAAGAAAGTTTTATTCGGCATGTATTCAAAAGGACAAAAGTGGGAAGCGGACAAGCATGCTGCCAGAGCTAGAACGTCTGCCCGAATCCAAGGAAATATCACAGAACAGACAAAAGTGGGAAAACAGACAAGCATGCTGCTAGAGCCATGTCTGCCCGAGTCCAAAGAATATTACAGAATAGGCGAGAATGGGAAAAAGGATAAGCATGCTGCCACAGCCAAGTTTGCCTGAGTCCAAAGACCATTACATAGTCATCAGTATATATTAACATTACAAATGGGCAAAACCATTGAAAGCTTAGCCTGTTCAGATTGGCTAGAAACTGTAATCCTACATTTTGAATTGTCTTTCTTAACAATCATTGGTACAGGTTTCAGTAATGACAGTCAGGAGGGTCTTCATTGATCCAACAAATTTGCATTCACTAAACACTAATAGAAAAAGATAAGAGTAGAAAGTCTTCTGTGTTCTGTTGGGGGCTTTATGTGAAAGTTTCCCTAAAAGATATTTTCCAAGAGTATCTTGGCTATTGTCTTTATACCTCAGGGCCCAGTTGATGTGTCCTTGTGAATCCTTGTAAGCCCAGCTCCAGCTGGGTCACATTCTCTATGCTCAAGGAGAGGGAATAATAACTCCAGTATTATTTCCTAAATCACTAGATAGCCAAGTCTAGCCTTTTCTCAGTTTTTAGCCCTTTGTTCTGCTTATTTTTTAGAGCTATCTTATCGTTCTAGTTCTGACCACCCCTTTCTAAGGCTAGGCTAAACTCTATCCTGGATTCCTGAAGTTTTGGCCTATAGCATCTGAAGGACTGAAGACCTTTTCTGTCTTTATTTTTTCCTGGAAGGCTTCTAGTTTCTTCCTAGCTTCTTGCCTTCCCTGTGATCTTTCGTGTTTTTAAAATAAGCTGCTTTCCAGCTGTTCTCCCCAGTTCCCTTATCTACCCAGTATCAAATCACTTTTTACATGTATACCCAGAATGTATCCATAATCATAGGAGCTGTCCCACATCCAGGCACATTATGGGGAGCAGCACCCCACAGTGACTGTCTGCTAGCCCAAATAACTTTGTCAGTCTTCTTACCATTCAGAAATATCAAGTCATGTTTTAAAAATCTGTTTTTATAAAATGATTTTCTATACCATAGAAATCCATGAAGAGTCCATAAATCCCTGAAGAATATTGATGTCAGTATATTTTTTATTCTTTAATTTAGTCAAAATCTTGAGAGGATAAATCAACTCCATTATAACTGAAAATACATTAATATATCCTCTAGGAAAACTACTTTCACTTTTCAGGGACTGATATTTCTCTACGATTTCATGCACTGATATTCAAAAAAAATTATGCTTTGTCTTTTCAATAGTTAACATTTTTCTCCCAAAGTATTTTTAACATATTCTTACTCTGACAGATTGTTTTCTCTGTAGTTGTCTTATTTGCTGCCCTCTGTTGTCTACTGCATATACAATTTTCTGTGTAAAGAAAACATGCCCGAGTTTCTGTGTGGTTGGCATTTTTACTTCTATTTGCAATATCCGAGTCTTAACTAAATAACTCTGCCCATCCTCTGTTTTTATGCAGTTTAAGATTCCCTACTAAAGTTCTTAAAGTTTCCAGAGACACATAGGGATTTTGTTCCCCTGTGCCTTTATTGTTTGAATTTGCTTGTAAATTAGGAATAGAAACAAGTAGAAAAAAGGCAAATATAGCCAGGGCCTCTGTTCCCTCACTGCCCACTTGCCTCCCATTTGTTCCCATTCTCAGCGACCAGTACCATCACTGCTCATGCGAGGGTCAAGACAAATGAAGGGAAAGGTAGAAACTCATAAAATAGTTCCCCTCAAATCACTTGAATTTTAATTAGAATACAGGACTCCTGATTCCCGTCAATAGGAACTTACCTTTGGTAGGGTCTTTGTTTACGGCTCTCATACCTAGTGTTCAGAGGAACGGGGAGCACTGCCATATTATCACTAGTCTAGTGGGCCTTAGCTCTCCTGCCATTCAAATCCCCAGATCCTCTCCACTTTGTACTCTAGTGTTTAACCTTTCCGGGTAGAAGAAGATCGATACAAATTCTTCATTGTTAAGAATCAATGGCTGTCCTGTGGCATCAGTGCCATCTAGTCTTGCTGAGAAGCCCAGTAAATCTCTCCAGCTGCTTCTAAAGCTTGGTTTGTCTTCTTCAGTTGCCTTCATTCTTAATGCAGATCACTTTGGTTTCTGTTCCCCTGGGGGCTTGCAGATAAATCTTGGCAGACATGTTCAGGGTCTACAAATGAGATGCTGGAAAAGGGCCAGCCCACCCAGAATTTAGTTGTAATGGATGAGACACCCCCTTGGTTCCACTTAAAGACTGGACCATTCGTCTCGGTATTTATTGGTGATTAGATCATATAGTACCTGGGTAGGAAGTACCCAGGATGAAGTTCCTGTGTAACAGAGGAGGCCAAACTGTCAGGCTGCGACACAGAAGCATGCTGGCTGACTCAGCCTCTTTAGTAAATAAGCAGAAGTCTGAGACTTATCCTGTTCCTTGAAATGCATAATGAAGAGAAGTACTGGGTAGTTTAGATGCCTTGGATCAAGAAAGTCTGGCAGGAAACCTCTTTGAGCTGCTTATTTACAAACCAAGTGAAAAATTCCCTGCCTGATTTTCCTTTATTAATAAATAAATATATTTATCATATTATTGAAAAGCATCCTACTAAGGGTGATCTGTAAATATTTAGTGTTAGTTAATGATCTTTTCATACAGTCCTTTGCTCAAGCTGAATGTTTGGCTGTATCTCAACCCAACCCCCCCGAATCTCAGGCTTCCTAGGCGTAATATCAGAATGCTAGTTTCCACTTGCAGGAAACATGTGGGTTCCTTGGGAAAGACAGAGTCCTTTTAATTTTGATTTCTCCTCTCTTTGATCAGTGGAGTATCCCAGTTACTACCAGGGCCTATGGGATTACCATGGTGACCAACCAGATGAACTGTCCTTCCAGAGGGGTGACATCATCCGAATTCTGAGCAAGGTAAGAACATAGAGTGTGGGGCTTGGATCAGAAGTTGATTTTTTCACTGTTGATGATATAGTCAGCATAACCAAGCCTATTCCAACTCATACATTTCTCTCGTGTGTTTTACATGGCTCCCTCAAATGTAGAGTAAATTCCTATTTATAATTATTAGTGGAAAGTTATATTGAAAATTCACAGATTCAGGATCCAGTTTTCAAATTTAAAAATGCAACAGACATAATATTAAACCAAAAAAACCAAACCCATTGCCATTGAGTCAGTTCCAACTAATAACCACCCTATAGGACAGAGTAGAACTGTCCGATAGGGTTTCCAAGGCTTTAATCTTTACGGAAGCAGACTGGCACATCTTTTTTCTGCAGGGTGGCTGGTGGGTTCAAACTGCCAACCTTTTGGTTAGCAGCCAAGTGCTTAACCATTGTACAACAAGGGCTTCTTAGACAAAATACTAAAACTATGCAAATGAAAAATTTGATCATTTTTCAGAGTCTTTTGGTGCTTAAAGATCATCATTATGTTCATAATTTATTACCATATACTAATGAAAAATATTCTAGCTAGATGAGCCACCTTCTTATTTCACTTATAGATTAACAAGTCTGTAATGTAATTATGAAGGAGCCCTAGTGCCGGAGTGGTTAAATTGCTGGCTGCTAACTGAAAGTTCTGCAGTTTGAACCCACCAGCCGCTCTGTGGGAGAAAGATGTGGCAGTCTGCTTCAGTAAAGAACACAGCCTTGGAAACCCTATGAGGCAGTTCTCCTCTGCCCTGTAGGGTTACTAAGAGGGATCAACTCGAGGGCAATAGGTTTTAATGTACTTATGTATAGGGGGAAGGGTCAGGGCTAGTTATCACAGTGAGTTTGAGCAACTGCTTGATAAGGCCAGTTTAGTGAATCCAGTCTCACATGGGCCAGCTAACTTTATTCTGTTCCACAGTCACACTTAACCCCTAACCCTGCCTAATCATCTCACAAGTACTATTGTTGAATCGTAAAGAACTGGGTTAACTACAAAAAAACCTGAATGTATCATTGCATATTATCACTGATGCGAAGAAGATTCAGAAATCATGGGCTACTGTTTGGAGATCAATAGCATCATCTTTGTAAAGAAAGACCACACAAGTCTGTGTAAGTGAGCTAACCTAATAGGTTCTGTCCCTGAAAGAAGTTATTAAAAAGTTGTCTTCATGTGGTCAATCAATACCTACAAACAAGTTTTTGGAATAGGCCCAATTTGCACTTTAATTGCTGAGTATGTGGATTGGTGGAAAAGAGTCCCTTAAAGCAAAACTGAAAACCCATTAATTAACCCATTCTTTTCTATTCATCTTTATTCTGTGAATGTTGATGCCTTGACCAAGTGTTTCTCTTGGTTTGAAATACACCTTAAACTCCTTAGGGAAATAGGCCAGGTTTTATCCAAGGTACCTTTAAGTGGTTCCAACGACTCCCCTTTAAACAAGAACTGAATTCAGATCCAGCCCTTAAAAAGCAAGTAGGAGGCCTGCCGGCCCTGCTAAATGAAATCACAACCTTCTAGTGATTTCTTCCAGATTCCTAACTCAACGCCACCCTAGTGCCATTTCAGAGATGTTCCAATACACCAAAAATAAATTGGAAGCAAAGAAGGGAGTGGACATTGGCCTGATTGGTATTTCAAATGCCCGAAAGCAAGGTTTGCTGTGTAATAGAATTTGTGTACATTACCACGCTGGCATTACAGGGGTAATCGAGTTATCCACTCAGGTGTGACCAGGCCTCTGTTTGCCCAGAGCCTGCAGGTGAACAAATTAACTGTTTACATTGTCTGGAGGTGCCTGCAGCAGGAGGGGGTGCAGAACTGAGCAAGACTGTCTGCTGGCCTTCTCTCTTTGTCATGATTATTTTGTTTGTTTTGCATGTCTTTTGCCTTTGTTAATGGCTTCTCACTGGGGTTGCCTCTCCTCCAGTTAGAAGGAGCTGTGCTGTGACCTGCCTTGCAGTACAGAGCTGTCTGCAGTTACTACTGCCACTGTATTTTTAAGAGATCCCAAAGAACATGGCAAATCTCCTCACCTGTTTTTTTAAATCAACCCCCTCTTCCCCTCCTCCATGACGAAAATCTAATGATTCACAGTTTAATTCAGTGAGAATACCTTGCTGCCCTGGTTCCATTGGCTTCTTTCTCCATTCTTCTGGAAGGTCCTGGGTCCATTTTTATCCCTTACAGTGTCTTAGCACATTTCTTCTCCCAAAAGCTATGCCTGCTGCATCCCTTCTCCAGGTTGCTAATCCCTGCAGCTAAACTGAAGTTTCCCTCATAAAGCTTCATTCCAGTTAACGCTGGCTTAGGGAGCATTTGAGATTGGATTTACCTTTGTTATATTACCTAACTCAATAAGAGTCCTTGGGCAGGAAGGAACCTTGAAAGGCCACCCAATCCATTCGCTTGCCTCTAAGAAACACAAATGAACCAATTCAGACAGATAGTAAAGGAAAGTCCACTACCATTCCCAGCCTTCAGTCTATTCAGAAGTTTGGTCACTCCTGCTGTCTGGAATTTTTCCTCACATGGATCCTGAATTCTTTCCACTTTAGCGCTTTCTTTGTTGGAGTCACTTATACACAGCCTCTGCAGCGTGCCTCTCACACCCAGGAACAGAGCTGACCTAAGTTGAGTTTAGTCCTAGAAAGCTCCATTTTACTTTTCTCTCTGTCCAGCAGAACCTTGGCCAAGCAAGAAAGGCCTGCTGTTTAGGAACCTGGGGGAGTCCATTTTCCTGAGAAACAGAAGACAAAATATATAACTATGTGCAGCTCAGCTTACCTGGACCTTTTTTGCCCCACCTGTGAAATGAGGGGGTTGTAGTAGATGGCCTCTGAGGTTCCTTCTACCTCACATATTCCAGTTCTAACCATGGTGAGCCTGATCCTGCAACACTGCCAGAGAAATTCCACAGATACAATTTAGCTTAATTACTTATTCAGATTTAAAAAAAAAAAAAATCCAACTACCAACTCTTTGGTTTTTGGTCCTCATAAATGCATCTGGTTTTCCCCTATCTCTTTGTTTAATAAAAGAAATATTCTGAAGAGGGAGAGCTGGAGGAAAGGAAGCAGCCCCTGGATGGGGAAGTGGGGTGGGGGAAGCTCCTGCTGTGTCCTGCTATTTCTCAATAGTTGTCCAAGTATAATCCAAGATTAAATCATAGAATCCTAGGGCCAAACTGAGGAGTCTTTTAGTCTTGTCTTTGGGCAAGAATGATCCCAGAAAGAGAGCTGTTGATCTTTTTTCAAAAAAAATTCTCCAGAGAGTGATTGGCTGGACAGGAAAGATGCACCCCATAGATTATAAAATGCCCATCACCTGCTCTTAGGGAAGCAAATAAGTGCCGGTAACAGATGGGTTATTTATGTGACCCTGAGCAAAGCTACTTAATCTTGCTAATCCTCAATTTCCTTGTCTGTAAAAACTGGGATAATTTCTATTCATAGGGTTGTTGTGATGCTTACATTAGCGAATTTGTGCATCTACGAAATGGTAACTATTATGATATTCCCCTCCCACTAATAATAAAGTAAATCTTTTGGGACAGTGTTGACACATATTAGCTCAATAAATTATTGGTGAATTGAGAGGGAAAAAAGGTGGCCTGTATTGCCAAGGGCTCTTTATAGAGTTGCTTGAAAGCACAAAAGGTTCTCACTTGGCTATAGAAAACGACCCAGTAAAGAGGCCTGCTGGAAATCCACCATGCCTTCTTGGGCCTGAGAGATTTCATCTCTGATATCCAATAGATTGTGCAAACTTCTTGTATAGAGAAAGACCAAAGTCATGTATTCAAGCTCGGAAACAGCAACCAACGGCACAGTCAGCAGAAGGATTCCCACCGACCTCCCCCAGCACATCCCTACATCCCAGGCCCTGCCGCATGCAGCTTCATGCCCACTTAATTCACTGAGTTTCGATTTGGGTCTTAAAATATATTAAAGGGAGATTTTAATAATGAAGCAGATCTGTGCATCCAGCGGATGTTCCTGTGTTCCTTTTGGGCCCAAATATTTCTGAACAGCTTTTCTGGTACAGGGACTAAGCTTCCCTTCCTCCCTGGTGCATGGACACAGCTCAGGCCACAGCGGGGTGTTTAGCGCTCTTCAGTGGCTCCAGATTGTGGTGCTTGTGCAGGTCTCCTCATACGTAACCGATGGCTCCTGAGAGCCTGCCTCTCATAAATTACTTCACACGATGCCTGAGACTACTGCAGAATTCAGGTTTGAATAGAGCAGGAAAAAGGTGTTTGAAAGGCCTGTTCACTCAGCTGCATTTTAATTTCCTTTTCAATCTTGTCCCAATTAATTTCACAGAATTAATCTCACAGAAGCAAACTCGGCAGCATTGAGGCTGTGGTTTTAGTGTGGCGGTCGCTCTGCCTGAACATGAAATAGGAGCTAATATAAAAATCCATCTGCTGTGTTTGAAACACACACCGGCTGCTGCTCAGTCCTGTCTGACATTCCAAATATCAACAGCGAAGGAAAGTGATTTGGGGGTTAGTGGCCGTCAGTACTTGGCAGAGATCCAACAACAGGTATATTCCAAAAATCCATTCACCCTGGCCACCAGGCATGACAGGGCAGGTGCTGAATCACCCTCCATGTGATAGTCTTGTGCCCTGGCTCAGTTCCTTCTATCTGAGGATCTCAAAGCCCTTTTGTGGACTAGCACGTCTATGTTACAGTGGGAGAAAGGGAGATGAGGAGCCTCTATTGGGGTAAAATAAGTCACTAAGTCCCAGCTTTCAGAGATGTGACCCTGTCTTCCTGGCTCTAAGTTCTCTCACTAGGGAACATTACCTACATTCTTCTTTCTAAATAATAAAGGTGCTTGTTCTACTATGCAAGATAACTCTTAAATAAATGCCCATTTAAAAAATAAGCTTCCACAAGAAAAAGAAATAAAGGGCATCCAAATTGGTAATGAAGAAGTTAAACTGTCCCTGTTTGCAGATGATATGATGCTATACACAGAAAACCCTAAAGAGTCCACGAGAAATCTACTGGAACTAATAGAAAGATTCAGCAGAGTAGCAGGATACAAGATAAAATCAGTTGGATTCCTATACACCAATAAGGAGAACGATGAAAAGGAAATCAGGAAAACAATACCATTTTCAATAGCCCCTAAAAAGATA